AGCGGTGACGGCGCCATGAATTCATTCCTCCGGCTCTTCGTCGTTCACAAGTCATCCCTCCTCCTTATTGGGCCGATCTTGGGGACAACGGCTTATCTACCCGACCTTGGTTGGACGATGAGAGTGTCTAGGGTCTAGAGTGTTAGAAGGAAGAGAGAGGATGGGTGAAATAGTTGATTGGCGTAATGCGATGGATGTATTATTGAGCCTCGAGGGCGAATATTGAGTACAAGACTTGAAGGGCAAGACAATGAAAATAATTCTATCTAATCCCGGGCAATCTCTACTACCAAATATATCTCTAACATCCCCCCGCAGCCGTAGCGGTAGCGTTGCGAACAACAGGAGCGTCACGGACGTTCAGACTGGAAAGAATAGCAGCCGACGGGCTGACATCCCCCGCAGTCGTAGCGGTAGCGTCACGAACAACAGGAGCATCACGGACGTTCAGACTGGAGAGAATAGCAGCTGACGTGCTGACATCCCCCCACAGTCGTAGCGGGAGCGTCGCGTTGCGGACGCGTTGACTATAGAGGAAGCCGACGAGTTGCTCAAGTGAATGATAACCCTTTGTGCCGATGTCGAGGTAGCCGAGAGTGTAGGGTGGTGTAGCTGTGGTCGAGGTAGTCGTGTGAAGAACGCCGTGGTCGAGGTCGAGTCGGGGTAGCCGGTATCGAGGGAGTCGCCGTGGAGCCGCGGGCTCAAGGAGGCGCCGAGTTAGCATGGGCGTAGTGGTGTCGAAGTAGTGGTGTGCCGGGAAGAATACGGTGTTGACGACGTGTCGCGACGGGTTTGCCAAGCCCGGGGACACATCGTGGACGAAGGCACACATCGGTGTTCCTAGCACCCGGCATGTGTAGACGGACGAAGACGTAGTTGACGAAGCGCCGCACCAGGCTTGCCAGGCCCGGGGACACGTCGTGGACGAAGACACGCATCGGTGTTGCCAGCACCGGGCATGCGTAGACTGGGACCTGCACGAGCTGTGCGCCATGTCGGAGAAGTCGTAGAGGCCAGCAGAGAAGGACTCGACGACGGTTGCGGCGCCAATCAGCATGGGGCCGATGTCGCTCGCTGTTGTCGAAGTAGATGAAGTGGTCGGGGTAGATGACGACGACGCTAGCGACGGGCTAGTGCTGGACGAAGACGAAGGAGGTGGATGGGTGGCGGCGGCAGCTAAGGGGGTAGAGGCGGCGGCAACGACTAGGTTAGGAGCGCGGCGGCGGTGCTTGAAGTAGGCAAGGAACCTTGGCAGCGGGAGGCGTTCCCGTGCCAGGGGAGACGGCACGGTGCATACCACGAAAAGTCGATGCGCAGTGAAGGCGGAGTGGACTGCCAGTCGCAAGGCTACTGCCTGAAGGGTCGACGCAGCAGCGGCGGGCGGGCGGGTCAAGGCGACGGCGGGAAGACCTCGGTGCGGCGGCGAAGACCGTGGACCGCGGCACTACAACCCGAAGGGGCGGCGCAGTGGCGTAGCGCGAGTTGGTCCAACCGCGGGGACAGCCTCGGGGCGGTGGCGGGGACTGCGTACCGCGGCAATATGGCCCGAAGGGGCGACGCAGTGGCGACGAGCGAGTCGATGCAACCGCAAGGAGAACCATGCGGCGGCGCCGCTGCGGCCCGACGGGGGACGCAGCGGCAGCCCAATGCTCGATCGGTGGAAGGGCGGGCTGAACTCGGGGACGGTCTTCACGGGACCTGCGGAGGCGCACGCCACTGACAGGCCAGGTCGGTCGCGCAGCATAGATGGGGCGGATCGCGGCGGCGAGCGGGTGATCAAGCCGATCGCGCACGAGGTCGGGGACGCCGCTCGGTTGAGGCGGGGTGGCAGTGGAGTCCAAGATGAAGCCAGCGACGACGGACGGCGTGGCACGTCGTGTGGATGAGTGCGTCAGCACCGGCACTCGGGCTGCCAAAGCAGCGGTGGCGCCACACAGCAAGGCTCGAGCAACCAACGGAGCAACGACGCTCGAGCTTGAGGAAGCCACGAGCCTGACGCAGCCAGGGACGAGGTCGGCAAGGCAGACCGCAGGGCCGCGCCGTGCAGACGTGGCGAAGGCGGGTGGCGTGGATCGACGGGTGGGCCGGCGTGCGAACGGCACCTATGATGGGCCGCCGCATGGCGCGAGGCCATCCAGTCGGGGTGATGCAGGTGTCCCGGTTGAAGAGGGCGGTGACGGCCGGCGTAGATCGACGAGCGGGCCGACGCCCGAGCGATGGCCGTGAGGGGCCGCCTGTCGCGCGATGCTGCCAGGTCGGTGAAGAAGCCTACCGATCGCACCGGTGTCGGAGTAGAGGCACACGGGGTCGACAGCGGCGGCGGGCGATGCAACCGATCAAGTATAGATCGGAAAACCAAAAAAGAAAACACCGATCAAAACGACCAGCGAGTGAGCGAAAAAACCCGGAGCAAGGGCTCGGGAAAAAGACTCTCTGGGGCAGCCGGTCAACACGACCAGCGGACGAACCCTAGGTACGGGCGGCGCGGCCCCGGGATGCGGTCATGGAGGCCGACCGCCCCGGGGGCGACGCGGGGGTGCGGAAGTGGTGGGCGGCAGCTAGGGATTGGACCGGTTAGGCTGATACCATGTTAGAAGGGAGAGAGAGGATTGGTGGAATAGTTGGTTGACTTAATGCGATGGATGTATTATTGAGCCTCGAGGGCGAGTATATATTGAGTACAAGACTTGGAGGGTAAGACACCTCCTAGAGATAAGATGAAAATAACTATATATCTAATCCCGGGCAATCTCTACTATCAAATATATCTCTAACATCCCCCCGCAGCCGTAGTGGTAGTGTCGCGAACAACAAAAATGTCGCGGACGTTCAGACTGGAGAGAATAGTAGCCGACGGGCTAACATAGAGGTTGTTGTCAGGCTTCTGCGGGTTTTGACAATGGTGGAATCACATGAAGGGATTGGTTCTTGAGATCATGGGATGAATGAGGCCACCAGGTTGCTAGAGCGGCTAAAACCTGTAGGATGAAGAGATCGATGATCTGTTTTGGGAAGAGGAACTGGACGTGGATGAAATCAAGCCGAAGTGGCTCGCGTTGGGTTGTCTCTTGACATGAAGTTTCAGTCATAGCGCCCTGTTATCTGATATGCGGGCAACATGGAACCCAACTCAAGCAGTAGTGTGGAGGAGAATCAATTCCAACGTGTTTGCAATTCAGTTCAATTGTCTAGCGAACTGGAACAAATAAATGCATTAGGGTCCATGGGAATTTCGCGGATATGCTATGATCTTATTAGAGTATGATGGCTTCTCAAGTCCTAAAAAAGTTAACTTGACAAGCTTGAGACTTGGTGTGAGATACCCAGATTGCGTGATAGGTGGTGAGAAGTAAGTGTTTCCTTCAGAACTTGGCAAGTAGGATAGGTGAGGTACACGAGATGCAAGTTACCTTACCAAGTGGCTTTGTTGGTAAGATGTTAGTAAAAATTGAAATGTTTTGTTAGTTTTACAAGGGGTGGTGGTATAGAGCAGTATCAAGTCACTAGTAGAAAAACACCTAATAGTCCGGGTTCGTAAGGGCCTTTAGTCCCGGTTCATGAACCGGGACTAATGGGTCGTTACTAATACCTTCACCCATTAGTCCCGGTTCAAACACGAACCGGGACCAATGTGCCTTCACGTGGCCCTGTGCGCCGAGCCCAGTCAGGAGGCCTTTGGTCCCGGTTGGTGGCTCCAATCGGGACCAAAAGTCCATGTTTTTTTACAAAAGTGGCTGTTTTAGGGGTTTTGGGGGTTATTTTTAGGTTGTTATTAGCTAGCTAATAGAGAGAAGTGTCCTCTCTTATATCTTCGTTCTTGGTTTATCAACGCTGCTGCTATGTTCATTTCACCCGCTGATATAACATGCTCATGCATGCTCGCATCATACATCATCATATATAATAACAAGTCCTACTAATCATGCATCATCATACAACTTCTACTCGTTATTAATAATAAGTCATGCGATCATCATCCTCATAGTCATCGAACCCAACCCTACATAATTGTTCTCAGCACATGATCATCAGTATCAGGTAGGACCTAAACACCCTTAAGGTAAAATAGTATAAAACAATATAGACCCTGACTCTCCATTATGAAGAATGGCGATCATCCAGTCTCCAATTCTTGCCCTTCGCTGCTTATTGCTTCCAAGAAGCTCCTTACGACTGTCCATACATTTTTTCCATTCTTTGATTGTTATGTCTCCACTTCTTTTAGAAACCCGGTATGGACAGTTGAGATTCGTAGGACGACCGGGTTGTATGTTCAAAACATGAAGGCTACCATGCGTATACATCAGATGAGGCACACAATCATTCGGGATTATCTGTTGAAAAACATAGTAATAACGTCG